TTTTGATAGCCGGGCACCATCAGCTTTCTTCACCACATTTGCTTATTCACCGGTTTTGACTTCAGGGTTGTGTAGGGAAGGTGAGTATCATAGAATGCCAATTTAAAAGAAGAAAGTATTCTTATAGGGAGACAGATTTTGTAGGATTTGTTTCCAAGGTCAGTGAATTATAAAGAAAAGGAGAGTCCCAGTGGTACAAACAGTTAAGTGCTGAGTTACTTCCTAAAAGGCTGTCCTTTTGAGCTTACACAGAGACCCCCTCGAAGACAGCCTGGACAAGATGTTTCCACAGGGGCACCGCCTTAAGGACCCGGATGTTCAGGTCAACTCTTCACACCTGAGGTCGTCACAGGCTGGAATCAACTTGACGGGAACGACCAAAAGCATACTGGAAAGAGATGCTCTGTAGAATTTGGGAGGTAAGGTGAAGGAACAGGAGAGGTGGAGCCCAGAAATTAGAACTAGGGTACTAGAGTCTCTCCTGAACCCCTTTTTTGTGTGTGATTTCCACTCACAAAGCAAACCAAGAACGTTTCAAAGCACTCTAGCTAGCCTGCACATCAGCTGCACCCTTGCCAGAGCCGCAGTTTCTCCCGGCTGCCGTCTTAAAGGGGACAGCACCCCCAGACACAGGAAAACCCCACCCAGAGCTTTCCGTGCTGTTGGCTGCCCTGAGATCACTGCTGGGGGAGTGGCGGTGGCAGGTAGCCATAATTTAGAATAGAAGAAAAAGTGGATTATTACCTGAAGTAGATGGTGGTGCGGGAGAAAATAAGCAGAATCAATTCCATTTGGCTGAGAAGGAAACAACCCCCTTGATAAGTGGATCTCCCCATCTGGGGACCAGCCTGACAGCCCCCAAATCAGAGCACATCACAAATATTTTTTAAAAAAGGGTGAAATATATATTATTGGTAAATAACTCAAACCACAGTCTGGTTTCTCAGCTGCAAAGAGCACATAGGAGGGGGTCTTTAACATAAATCAGCATATGAATTAACCTAGCTAAGGATTTCCAGAACCCACCTACAGGGCCTGGAGGCTTTTTGCATAACAGAGACGTGGAGCTGCAGACTAGAGATTGTGTGTGACAAGTTAATTTGATTTTAGTCTAGCTGATGGGGGTTGGGTGGGGGAAGAAAGCCTCTGATTTAGTAGGACACCAGTAGCATAGATAGTACAACACATCCAGCTTCCCTTTCAGTGACTCTACACATAGCTGGGGAGACCCTGGGGCCCTAGACCGGGCTGTGGGGCCGCCCCCCCCCCCCCTTTCTGCAGGGCTACATACAACACAAAGCAAGCACCCCAGTAAAAGTCAGCTTAACAGATGCCTGGTCACAGGTACAACCTTGCCTTTGAAAGTAATCCCACACATCATCTGTAGAACCCTACATAAAAAGGGTACAGCATCCCACTATCTAGAGGAGGAGTTGGAACTCCTGCAGCCTCACAGACAGGTTATCACTCCTCTCTATTCACGAGCATTTCTATCCTTCCCACCGCAGTCAGTGGCAACGAGCAGGGTTTTTTTTCTTCTTTTTCTTCCTCTCTCCTATCATAAACAACTACTGACTTCCAGATCACTACCCTCCATTTAGAGCAAATCAACCCAAATAGCAGGTGGGACACCAGCCCGCCCTCTGTGGGAGTGGTGAACACCACACAAGGCAGCTGGGACAAACATCTACACCACACTGTACTGCTGAGGAAACCTGCATCGGACCTTTAGGCAAGCTCATCAACTAGGTCAATACTGCCCAGCACCACGGGGTCCCTGCGTCAAAAGAGCACACCAACCTGCCATTATGAGGCAGGGTCTAAACCCCTTTGGCCCCACATACAAGTAATCAGGGATCAGCTATCTCTTTATTCTTTATTTCCCCCTTCTCGCTCTCCTCCCTCTTTACCATCACAGACAATCTTAGTGAACGCAGTGGGGTTGTTTTTTTCTTCTCCCTGTCATTCCCTTTACATGCTACTGCTGGTTGCCAAACCTGTCCTCCCAGTGGGCAGCCTGACACCTAAGACAGTGCTCCACACAGGACGGGCTCAGCTATTTCTTTATCAATTTTGTCAGTTCAGTCTCCCTCTCTTTTTTTAACTTTGTGTTCTTTTCTCCTCTGGTTCTAACTCTTCTCTCTGTTCTACCACAGCCTCAGCAGATTAAGTTTTCCTTTCTTACTTATCCCCCCTGCCCTTTTTTTTTTACTGTTTTCATTTTTGTTTACTCTG